AAGGGGAGCAAACATATTAAGAACAGTATGCCATATACGCCAGGTCCCTTGAAACATATGCTGTGCAGACGTTTCTTCTCTGCAGCGACTGTGTCAAGCAGCAAGGATGGACCGGCTCCCGGCATCCACTGAGCAACACCGGTCAGGGCTAATGTCCTCCTCTTCTAAGAACACTAGTCACATACGGGGAGGACCCTCATTTCACTTTAATTACCTCTTTAAAGGTCCTATCTCCAAAAACAGCTCCATCTGAAGTCCTGGGCATTAGGGCTCCACCTTAAGGTAATGCCCCACTGAAACTGCGATCACCACAGGACAAGGCATAGGCCTTCTGTCTTGGGAACTTGGGGGCTTGCATGCACCACCTAGGTCTTGTCAGTTTTGTGAGTTTTTTAAAATAATATATTTTTATTGATTTCAGAGGGGAAGGGAGAGGGAGAGAGAGATAGAAACACCAATGATGAGAGAGAATTATTGATCAGCTGCCTCCTGCACATCCCTACTGGGAATTGAGCCTGCAACCTGGACGTGTGCCCTTAAGCAGAATCGAACCTGGGACCCTTCGACGCTCTATCCACTGAGCCAAACCGGCTAGTGCTTGTGAGCTTTCTTTAAAATACTCCCTCTGGCCCTAGCCGGTTTGGCTCGGTGGATAGAGTGTCGGCCTTCGGACTAAAAGGTCCCAGGTTCGATTCCGGCCAGGGGCACATGCCTGGGTTGTGGGCTCGATCCCCCCCATCGGGGAGCATGCAGGAGGTGGCCAATGGATGATTCTCTCTCATCATTGATGTTTCTATCTCTCTATCACTTTCCCTTCCTCTCTGAAATCAATAAAAACATATTTAAAAATAAAATAAAATAAAATACTCCCTCTGTACCAAAATAATAGTAGCAGTTGATGAATGTAATTTGTCCCATAATAATAGTAGCAAAAGAAAATAAATATAGAACTCAACATTTATTATCAAAAAACTAGATTAAATTAAACAATAAATTAAAAATAGTACTCCTAATTTTTATTTTGAGTGTTCAGATAGTTTCTGGATTTTTCAATAATCTCGTTACTGCATTTTAAACTTGTAGGTAGGGTCCCTTGGCTGCGAAGCTTTGCTTTCCCTATATGCGTGAGCTTAAAATTATTGGAGCCATTGTTCTTCATTGCTTCTAGCATAACTTGTTGAAGTGACAGAAACGTATTATCCAGTATTTCGGGAGAAATATTATCAATGGCTAATATGGTGCC